ATACTTTTGACCAAGAGCTTCTCCTCTTGCTCTCTTGCGAATGGCGCGCTCGACGAGGAAGGTCACCGCTTGCGTTGTTGTGGCTGGGTTGCTGGCATGCGGCCTCTCCAGCTCCGGATTCGTGCCAGGGCCGCTTCGCAGGACGGCTGCCCCAGTGGCAGCTGCTTCTGCAGCCGGCATGATGATGGCTCCGGCTGCTTTCGCCGACGAAATTGGCGATGCAGCAAAGAAGCTTGGTGATGCTTCCTATGACTTCGCGAAGGAAGTGGACTGGAACAACGGCATCTTCTTGCAAGCTCCGGGCAAGTTCCAGCCTCTCCAAGCTTTGAAGGCCATTGATAAGATGATTGATATGGGAGCCGCCGCAGACCCCAAGCTCTTGAAGGCCGCGGCGGAGGCCCATCACAAGGCCATCGGAAGCATCTCAGGTGCCAACGGTGTGACCTCTCGGGCGGATTGGGATGCGGTGAACGCAGCTCTTGGCCGCGTTGTGGCCTCCGTTCCCAAGGCAAAGGTCATGGACGTCTACAATGCCGTGAAGGACATTACTGACCCTGCCGTGCCAGGGTACATGAAGTCTTTGGTCAACGGTGCGGATGCCGAGAAGGCATACAAGGGCTTCTTGGAGTTCAAGGATGTGGTGGAAAAGAGCATTGGAGTTGATTCAGATCTATTTTTTGACTACCTTAGCATTCCCACGTCGTTTGGCTTCTGCGGTGCTTGTACTGTATTCTTAGCATCTTTTCAGATGAACTCCTGAAACATTCCAAGGAACCAAGTGTCTGCGGTTGGTGCTCCGGCCACTGTGCCCACTGGGGACAAGATTGGTGCGGCGGCGAAGGCCCTTTCGGATGCATCTTACCCTTTCTTGAAGGAGGTGCAGAATGGCAAAGAAGAACAATCTTTGCTGAAGAGAAATGAGAGACATCATGTGAGTCCCCATGCCAGAGCCAGTTCCTAAGGGTTTTGCACTGGGTTTCTTTTGACCGAGCATGCTGGGTTGTTTGTGCGCGTGCCCTCAGGTGGACTGGCTGTCCGACGTTTACCTGAAGCCGCTGCCAGGCACCACAGCCCCGAAGGTGATGACCGCCATTGACAAGATGATCGTGATGGGCAGCCAGATGGACGGAAACCTTCTGAAGGCTGCCGCTGAGGCGCACCACAAGGCCATTGGCAGTGTCGACGCCAAGGGAGTGACGTCTGCTGCGGATTACGAGGCAGTGAACGCAGCAATTGGGCGCATCGTCGCATCAGTGCCAAAGGCCACCGTGATGGACGTGTACAACTCCATGGCCGGAATTGTGGATGGATCCATTCCCAACAACATGTTCTCCAAGGTGAATCCTCTTGATGCAGCCGCCGCTGCGAAGGGCTTCTACACCTTCAAGGATGTGGTGGCAGCGTCGCAGCGCTGATGAGAGTTTTTGGCCAGGCGCCATGGCGTCGAGTTGTCGGACCCTTTGAGGACCACAACTCTATTTAATTGTTGCCAACCAAACTTTTTGAACTGTACAGTGCAGAAGAATGGTGGAGTCGTCGTTGCATGGGCTTGAGATTGGCACGCGCGGTGTTCAGAACTGGTTCTTGCCTTGGTTTAGTGAAGGAAGGAGGGTGGTAGATGCCACCAATTGTTTGCTTTGTTTTGTGAAGATTTTAAAGCCAAGTAAACAAGGTTGTGAGCAGAGGCTTCCATGCTCATGTTTCCTTGAGCCTAAGCCTGATTCGAACGACTCAGTAGCATATGTTGAGGAAGTGCTGCTTTGCCGGAGTTCTTAGGGCTCCACTGGCTGTTGCACGCGTCAAGGTACTCCGTACTTCATCGTACTTCCCTTGGAGTCATGGCACGCTCTTCGTATAAAGTCTCTGAGCATGCCAGGCATCTAGCAGCACTGGCCAGGGTTTCCTCAACGCCGTGGGCGCGGGAGCGCTCAGTTTTGGCTTTGGGCACAGCGCCCCAACACCTTCCTAAAACAAAGCCCCCAAGCCCAAGCCCCAAGAGGCCCAAAACCATCCAAAACCATCTCCAAGACCCTTGAGGTGGCCGTTGGGGGATCTGCCGCCGCGGTGGCGGCGAGGAGGCTGCGGAAGGCACTGGGCGAATTCCAATTGATCCATTTCATGGAATTCTGGGTTTGTAGGGCGTTGGGGAGATCGTTGGCTGTTGGTCGCTGTCCCACGCGCGCTGAGGATTTTGGTGTCCAAAGGCGCCTTTTCACCATGTCAGTGCCTCGAAGCTGCTCACTCTCCTGCTTTCGTGCCGCGAAGGAGACGACTGCCTCGCAGAGCGGGGATGCCGAGCCAGCGAACAAGGGGCCTTAGAAGGTAATTTGAAGTGGCCGCTGTGGTTTGGCCGCCCCTCTTCAACCCCTGAACCCCAGACTTTGTGAAGCCGCTTCTCAGGGGTAGCCGGGTACCCTCCCCCCCCATACCCCCCAAGATTCTTTCTGCACGATGACGGCCTTCTTGGCGTGTGGTGGATCAGCCAGGTTGTATTGTTGAAGGTCTGGGGTTTGTTTGAGATTTCTGTGCGAGAATCCCTGGCCCCGAGCGGCTTGTTTGTTCTCAGGGACGGTCGTCTGCGCCTTCGAGAATGAGCTCGGAGTGCAAGCGTTCGGGTGCCGAGCCACACGGAGAGCTTAGGGCCGCTTCTTGTCTGGCTAGGACACACGGGCTCTCGAAGTCTTGTCACCCCTGGCGTGTGCCGAAGGAAGTTGGTTGTTGTGCCACATTTTGCGTTACCCTTCCGGACAGCATGGCGTCCCACGTGCGAACTTTTCTGGGAGCTTCTGAGGCCTGTCGGTTTCTGGGATCCTGCAGGCAGGGGATGCGCTCTCAAACGACTCAGTGGCCCCGTTTTCCAATGCCCCCTAAAGCCTTTGACGCTTGTGCCTCGGGTCAGGCTTCACCTCCGACGGCGACTCGCAGGAAGGGTCTGGGCTTGGCTCCGGCATCTCTTTGGGATTCGGAAAGCTTAGCTTACGGTCCACGGTCACGATCACGCCCCACGGCCCGAAGGCCAAGCGCCAAGAGCCGAATTCAAGGCCCCACGCTGGGCCAAACCCTAAGAGCCTTCTTCGCCCCCGGCCGGGGGGGGGCGCTGAGAATCCAAAAGCCCGAGCCATCTTCAGAGCCCCACTGAACCTTGAAGTCCTGGACCTTTGCACAAGCCCCGTGCAGGTGATTTTGGAGGGTTCTTGGGGAGATTCGGCAGTTGTGTAGGAAGGATCAGGAAGGTGCAGATCTATAGAATCTAGAAGTGATGGGGGCCGTCGAGAGGAGTTCTTCCGCAGAAGGGTCGTCGAGGTCAAGCACGGCCGCGTCGCGATGTTGGTGCCCTCTGCCATATTTCGCGTTGAAGGGGAGGGGCTGAGAGCTTCTAGCATCAGAGCTGCATATCATGTCACAATTTTGGGGCGCCTTGTTTCGGGGGCTGGACCTTAAGGGTTGAACGTCCAAGTTTGTGTTTGGGGTTGCGGGCGTCGTCAGCGTTTTGAGGCATGAGCTCGAAAGCCTGACTGCACGATGCAGGCGTGCACCGGGTACATCGTGCAGGAGTTCGCGGGGGCCCCCAGGGTTTGAGCTTAGTAGCTGGGTCCTTTCATGGAAAGAACCCCAACGAACCCCAAAGACCCCAAAGCATCGACACCGGAGCCAAAGCCGAAAGAACCCCAAAGCTGAAAGCACCAAGAGATCCACCTGAAGCCACAGAAGAAGTCCTTTGCCAGTTCCGCTTCCCCGGGTACCTCTCGCCCACCTCGGACATCAAGTTCGAAGACGCGCGCCGCCTCGGAGTGCAAGAACTTGGTGTTGCCGCAACTTTTGCTTGACTATGTTCCGAAGCGGGGAAAATGGAGGTTCAGAAGCAACTGGAACCATTTCCTGAGGGTCATTTAAAAGGGGGGAATTTCCCTAGCTTTGTGTCCATCCAAAACCCCTTAAAGCACACCACCCTAAAGATCCCATCAGAACCCTTCTTAAAAAGCCGTCAAACGCCACTTCAAAGCCACAGAGCCAGCTCTAAAGCCCCTCACTGTATAGTCTCCCCGGCCGCACAAAATTTTCCGAAGCGTGCAGGTTCCCAACGGCCTGGCCGCTGTGACCAAGGCCCCTGATGTGCCTCAGTGTTTCAGAGGCTTTGTCCTGCGGCCTCCCCGAGCTGTCGCTCTCCCTTTCTCAAGTCGATTTCGACTCCTTTTAAGGGTTCCTCACACTCTCTATCGGCCTTTTGCCTTCTGGCCAGGGCTGCCATGGACATCTTGTTTCTTTCTCCGCGCCAGCCCCACGTAACATCGTTCTGGGTTTCTTCTTGCCTCTTCATGGGGGGTTCCCCGCATTGGCCACTCAGGCCTTCGGAGTTGGTAGTTCTTTCCAAGCTGTACTCCACCCCCCCCCCCCCCCCCAAAAAAAAAAAAGGGGGGGTTTTGGCAGAAGCTGTCGGGGGCAGAAGCTGTCGGGGCCGTCAGGACCGTGGCTTAGAACCCTGAGAGATCCCGGTAGGGTCCCAACAGAATCCTCTGACTGTGTAGGTCCCCGCAGTCGGCTGGCCGGGAGCTGAACATCTTTGGGGCTGTTCGGGGAGGGCCTTCGGTTGAGTTGAAAAGGTTCGGTTAGACGGTTTGGGGCAGTTTGATACAAGGATCCTGCAAGCATCGTTCTGCGGTTCTACGGTTGTGGGGCAACTTTGCAAACATGAATGCACTCAAAGCCACAAAACGCTCGGATCTCGGAATTCTCGTAGCCCCTCCTTGCGAGCTCTAGATGAACTCTTGATACTTTTCTTCTCTCAAGTGAAGGAGCTCTTTTTCATTTTGATGAATTAAACGGTGGAAACAAGGTCGAGGAATTGCAAACTCCAGAAAATGGGCAGAGTGGGAGCTCTCGGATCTCGGAGATTGCAATTCCTGTAACTTTGTAACAGCTAGCCTTCTCACGTCTCTTCATTTCTAGATGTTTCTTTGTATGCAAACACATGCCTGCAGCTGTATATAGATGCTTCCTCCATGTACACGCACATGTATCTCCAACCGTGCACAGATACATGCGATGTCAACATGCCAAGGTTCCAGTACACCATCTTCTGCGGCCTCTCCGACCTCTGGTTCGCGCACCAGGCTTTGCTCAGGTTGATGCCTGTTTGATTCTCTTATGCACCTTTTTTGTTCCCTGCCCAGAATGTCGGTTATCTTGCGTCGCGCGTGCGGCCAATATTTGGAAGTGAGCAAGCTACGTCCCCAAACCCAGCCCCAAGCCGAGCTTTCCGAGCTCCTCTGCGGTGGCTTGTTTCGAGCCCGGCTGGCCTTTGACGATCCGTGGAACGAGTCCTAAGCGAACCTCAGGCGGCAAACAACCCTCCTGGCAAGCTCTCCACGCGCTTCTGGGGCCGCCTGCCCGAAAAGGAGGGAAAGGTAGGGGAGTGGAGGGGCTACTTGTAGGGTGTTCCGTGTGGGGTTCTGTAGGGTGTTGGGGGGGATTCGAGTAGGCAGCCCTGAACCCCAAAAGTGATGCGTGAGGAGATGTTTCTTAGCTGGCAATCCATTTTTGAGGAAGGGAATGGGGCAGTCGAAGGCGGTCACCGGTGCCGGCCCAACGAAGCCCTTGTCCTCTTGAATGAAGCTTGTCAAATCGTTCTTCAAGCCCTCAACCCCTGTCCCCCAAAACCCCCTAAAGCCATAGGTGCCCTCAGACCGCAACTCTTTGAGGTGAGGAGGCCAGCAACTACGAGTACGGCTTCCTCGGTGTGCCTCGGGCCTCAGCATCCCAACCACAAGCTCAAGAATGCGCCTTGTCTGAGTGCCTTACCGTCTTCCCGTCTCACCAGCCTCCTTTTCAAGAACTTGGGGAGCGCCGAGGACGGTTTGCGATGCCTGTGAGGTCCTAAACGCGCATCTCGTTGGGTTTTGCCCATGGCCAGATCCCTGAAATTCGGACAGCACCCTGTGATGAGTGAGTAAGCAAACTTCAACCCCACAAACACCCCAAAACCCTAAGCCCTAAACCCCAAAACCCCAAAACACCCCAAAAGAACCCAAAGTCCTAAACCCTCCCAACAAACTCAAAAGAACCCAAAAACCCTCTGAGCCACGGGGGCGGCGGAGTGCTCCGGGCGGGCCGATGGCGCACGCGGTGCCTTCGCAGGCCGAGCCACGCTCCAAGGCATTTTGCGGGGGGGTTCGCTGTTCTTGGAGGGCGGATTGGGGTGCCCATTGTTACTATAATTCTTGGTCTTGCTAGTATTATCGTTAGGATTATCATTCGTATTGTTATGATTGATATTCTTCTTCTTCTTATTATCACGACTGTTGTTAAGTTATGATCAGCAGTTGTTATTGTCATTTGCTTTTTATTCTTATTAGGATTACTGTTTTTTTTGAGGGGGGGGTTGGGTTTGGTTTGCCTGTAGTTTGGCAGGGACCCCACAACAAACCGTACTTCAGAGAACTGAATTGTATTCTGAAGTTCTTGCACACAGACAGCTTTCAAGCAGCTTTGCGTGAGGGAGGCGCGCAACAACATGCTCATGTCGCATCTACAGCGAGCTCAACTCGAGAAGGTCTTCTTGCATCAACGACCACATGGCAGAGGGGCAGAGGTGGTCAAACTGGCAAACTACGCGGAGCCAAAGCTGTGCTGTTTTCGGCGGAGGCATTCCGGAAAGTGACACGGTGTGGCAACCGTCGGGGCCGTGAGGGGAGGCGAAAGGCCAGAAATGCCGGCAAAGCCGGCAAAGCGCAAGTGCCGGAGGATAGGTGCGGTGCGTGCGCGCGCGCGCGCGCGAGCAGCGAGCATGGCGCGGGGTTCCAACAGACTACAAAGAGATCCAAAGCCCGGGACCCCGATCCCTCCCCACCCCGCATCTGTTCTGTGGTGTTTGTGCGTGTCTGTGGGTCTGTGTTGGTCGGCAGGCGTGGCTCCTTTCTGGGTCCGTGGCTGCTGCCGCCCGTGCGGAGCGCTGGCAGGACTCCTTTCCTTAGGGCCTTGGGGCTTCTTGGCTTCTTCGCTCTGCCACATCCAGAGGTCCCCGAATCCGAAGCCCTTTTTGAACCCTCTATGCCCCCTCGAAGGCTGTGCAGAAGCCCCTAAGCATGCTCCCGAGGAGGCCCTGGCCTTGTCACAGAGCCGCAAAGAGAGGGAGCTTTGGGATCGTGTAAACTTATAACCTTTGGGACTTCAGTGTTGAGTTTCGGTTAGTAGCTTCAGGGTAAGAAGTGGAGGATGTGGGCATTTCGGGCTCGGAGTCAGGGTGACCGTGGTGCCTCTCGCTGCCCGTCGCCTTCTTTGGGACTCTCTGCTTGCCGTGTCTCCGACCCTGGAGCCTGAGAGTGCGACTTTGGGGGGGGGGGGGGGGTTAATTTGGCTCATTTTGGTAGGTTTTGAACTGTCTTTCGTTGAGCCCTCCCCAACCATAAGCCGGACCTAAAGCCTCCGAACCTCCACTTCGTCATTTGAGTCTCGACTCTGCTTCCTTGTCGCAGAGTTTTCGGTTGAGCCCGCTTCCTTTTGCAAGCGCATGTCCGCTACATGTCCACGGATTACTGCCGGTCTGCAGCTCACTTCCGCTTCGCTTCGGCCTCATGCCCGCGATGTCTTCCCCAGGCATGCGCGCTTCAAGGAATTATCCGCACCCTTGGAGGTCTCTCTTTGAATCCCTTGAAACCCATTCACACCTTGAAACCTTGTGCGAACGCTTCCCGAAGGTTCGAGGAGGCCGTGGCTGGGGACCTGGAGCCCAGCACCGTCACGTGCACCACCGCCATCGGCGCCTGCCGCGCGGTTCGAAACGAGGGTTTGAGAGGCCCTCAACTGGTCCTAACCCTGGCTGCTGTTAGAATACCCGAAAACACGTCAAAGCTGGAGCTCAGCCCCGGGAAAGTCAGGTGCCAGGGGCAAGAACTGGGAGCTTGCTTTGGCCTACCTCTCAGCGCTTCGGTGCGCCGGCCTGGAGGCCCAGGGCAGGAATGAGGGGAAAGGGGCTGCAGGGGCCCCGGGCTCGACGGCTGTTTGGGGATGGGCTTGAGGGATTTTTTTAAAATGTGTACGTGCATCATTTTTTCTCTCTCGGGGTGTTCAGAGGTCGCTGAGGGCCGCACTCGAAGATAGCGCAAGCATTTTGTGCAACCTGCCAGAAGGCGAATGAGGTCTCCTACAACACAACCATCAGCGCTTGCGAGAAGAGCGGGCGCTGGGAGCAGGCCCTTGGGGTTTTGGGTTGGCTTCCGGTTGTGTGCAGTTGTCGTACTTCGGCCCTGTGCAGAAAGAAACTTTAGACGAGGATGAGACACTTCATGAACTCAGGTGCCATTTGGTGTTTGCGGGTTCCGTAGAGTCTGAGGATCCGAACTATGCAGAGCTGTTGTCGACTGGTGCCTTTGAAGCTAGGAAGCGGGCTTGCTAGCTCGGCCATAGCTGCGGAAATGAGTCTCAATTGAGGGTGGCCTGTCCACGGCAAGCAAATTGTTTTGGCTTCCCCAAGTCGCCAGCCCCGAAAGCCAGCGCCCCGAAAGTGCCGTCAGGCTCTGGCCTTGTTTGCCGAGGCGCGCGAGGCAGGAGTGCGGAAGGATGTGCCTTGCTTCACCAGGCTTCATCCGGATTGTGGGGCCTGATGATGTTTGGGGTCGTGTTCGGGGATTGAGCTCCTGCAAATATCGCCCAAATTCCATGGTTCCGAGCCTAGATTTGGGCACGAACCGCTACCAAGATCCGAAGTCAGGAATCTCGTCGCTGAGATCAATATCTCTGTGCAATTTGATATATGTAGACATAGATGTGTATGTGCATGTAGATGTAGGAACGTATGCATGCGTGTATGTATGTATGTATAGTATGTATGTATGTATGTATGTATGTATGTATGTATGTATGTATGTATGTATGTATGTATGTATGTATGTATGTATGTATGTATGTATGTATGTATGTATGTATGTATGTATGTATGTATGTATATATATATATATATATATATCGATCGATCTATCTATCCATCTATCTATCGATATAGATATATGTATGTATATACACATGCACATGCATATGCATATGCATATAATACATATACATATACATATGGGTGCACTTGCAGATTGTGCTCCTTGCCCACAGGGTCTCTCTTTTATGGTGCTTAAGCTACGGATCCCGAAACGGGAGGAGGCTTGATCGACCTGAAGTCTGAAGGTTCGCTTTTGAGAGCCTCTTAAGGCGATCACCTTCAATGCGGCCATCAGTGCCTGCGGCAAGTGCGGGCAGTGGCAGCCCGCCCTCGTGCTGCTACGGGAGCTGGAGGAGGCAAGGGTAAGGGAAGGGGGGCGAATGGGCTGAGAATTGCAAGATGAAGGCTCGGCATCTTTTGCCGGAGGTTGCGCCTTGCATTGGTGTTGTGACTTTGCAAAGGCATGGTTGGCGAAGAGCTCGTGCTAGGGAGCATTTTTGGCTTTGATCATACTCTTGACAAAGGGCCTCTCCTTTTGCTCTCTTGCTCATGGCGCGCTCCACGAGGAAAGTCACCGCTTGCGTTGTTGTGGCTGCGTTGCTGGCATGCGGCCTCTCCAGCTCCGGATTCGTGCCAGGGCCGCTTCGCAGGACGGCTGCCCCAGTGGCAGCTGCGTCTGCAGCCGGCATGATGATGGCTCCGGCTGCCTTCGCCGACGAAATTGGCGATGCCGCAAAAAAGCTTGGTGATGCTTCCTATGACTTCGCGAAGGAAGTGGACTGGAACAACGGCATCTTCTTGCAAGCTCCTGGCAAGTTCCAACCTCTCCAAGCTCTCAAGGCGATTGACAAGATGATTGACATGGGCGCAGCAGCAGACCCCAAGCTCTTGAAGGCAGCAGCGGAGGCCCATCACAAGGCCATCGGAAGCATCTCAGGTCCCAACGGTGTGACTTCTCGGGCGGATTGGGATGCGGTGAACGCGGCTTTGGGCCGCGTTGTGGCGTCCGTCCCCAAGGCAAAGGTCATGGACGTGTACAATGCCGTGAAGGACATCACTGACCCTGCCGTGCCGGGGTACATGAAGTCTTTGGTCAACGGTGCGGATGCCGAGAAGGCATACAAGGGCTTCTTGGAGTTCAAGGATGTGGTGGAAAAGAGCATTGGAGTTGATTCAGATCTATTTTTGACTATCTTAGCATTCCCACGTCGTTCTGCATCTGCGGTGCTTGTATTCTTAGCATCTTTGCAAATGAACTCCTGAAACATTCCAAGGAACCAAGTGTCTGCGGTTGGTGCTCCGGCCACTGTGCCCACTGGGGACAAGATTGGTGCGGCGGCGAAGGCCCTTTCGGATGCATCTTACCCTTTCTTGAAGGAGGTGCAGGATGGCAAAGAAGAACAATCTTTGCTGAAGACAACTGAGAGACATCATTTGAGTCCCCATGCCGGAGCCAGTTCCTAAGGGTTTTGCAATGGGTTTCTTTTGACCGAGCATGCTGGGTTGTTTGTGCGCGTGCCCTCAGGTGGACTGGCTGTCCGATGTTTACCTGAAGCCGCTGCCAGGCACCACAGCCCCGAAGGTGATGACCGCCATTGACAAGATGATCGTGATGGGCAGCCAGATGGACGGAAACCTTCTGAAGGCTGCCGCTGAGGCGCACCACAAGGCCATTGGCAGTGTCGACGCCAAGGGAGTGACGTCTGCTGCGGATTACGAGGCAGTGAACGCAGCCATCGGGCGCATTGTCGCATCAGTGCCAAAGGCCACCGTGATGGACGTGTACAACTCCATGGCCGGAATTGTGGATGGATCCATTCCCAACAACATGTTCTCCAAGGTGAACCCTCTTGATGCAGCTGCCGCTGCAAAGGGCTTCTACACCTTCAAGGATGTGGTGGCAGCATCGCAGCGCTAATGAGAGTTTTTGGCCGGGCGCTATTGCATCGCATTGTCGGACCTGTTGAGGACCGCAGCTCTGTGTAATGGTTGCCAACTTAATTTTTTGAGCTGTACAGAGCAGAAGACTGGTGGAGTCGGTAGCGATTGACAACAATGCTGTGCCTTGAAGCTGTGTTACATGGCTTGAGATTGGCAGGCGCGTCGTTGAAGGAAGGAGGGTGGTAGTATGTGGTAGATACCAACGGTTGTTCGCTCTGTTCTCAACAACAGCTTTTTCCCCACCGGGCAAGTGGGGTTGTTAGATTTTAAGGACAGAGCGGCGACGCACACATCATGTGACGCGACTCTCAGGACGGAAGGCAGTACAGCATCGAGGACCGCAGGCAGACAACTTGGTGTTCTTACGTCCACCAGTCTCGTGTTCAGCTCGTTACGTTTGTCGATGACAAAAGCTGTTGGCGGCCAAGGGCCTTAGCGACCACTTCGACAGCTGTTGCTTGTTTACGTGCGACATTGGGAAATGCAAGGTGGCCTCGTCTACTTCTTCCTCAGCTGCTGCTTGTGAACTGGCTTCTCGCGTCGGGCACTCGCACTCCCGCTTCCTTAAAGCCCTTGGCGTTGTCATTGACATGGATGGTGTTGAGTTGCCCCAGCTTGCTGACTTCGTCATCCTCAAGGCTCGTCGCAGATTCCGCTTGATTCGTGTTGTGGCTCATAGCATTGAGCATCGTCGTGTGCATGTGAAAGCGTTTGTGCTGCCTGTGGTGCTGTGGGCTGGAGCTTATTGCTGGCATCTCCCTGGCAGCGTCAGTGCAGGTGTTTAGGGAGGAGGTCCGTGGGCAAGTCCCTGGGCGAACCTCCCGCTCTTGGAGCGATGTACCCCGGCGCTACCGATGTCGAGAGGCCGCGGTTAGGGAGACTTTTTGTCGAGGCCAGTTCTTCGGTGTTACCCAAGCTGTTCTTACTGGCCAGCCGTTGACTGTTTCTGAGACGGGGAGCCGGGCTTTTGCTTGACGGCGGTGAAACCCCCGCTGCCACTGATGACGTTTGATGGCAGATGTTCTTCTTGAGGGGGGAGACTTTGGTCGTTTTCTCGGGAAGCGGTTGGTCGTGGCTTGTCATCTCGACGTGTTCCTCGTGCTCTTCTGAGCGCGAGCGTGCTTGTGCAGTGATTCCGACGGGGTCCTCTGTTTTGCGAGTTGCCCTGGCTCTAGTGGCAGTTGCCGGATCTGTCCATCTGTGTAGTAGGGTGACCATGTCGCTCTTTTGGATTCGCATCGGCTTCGGTCGAATTTGTTTGTGTTTGCTGTTGTTTGCGTTTGCTCTTGGGCTTTATCCCTGTGCTTGAAATTCCTCAAGCTTCGCCTTGGGACGTGCTGGATTACACCTTGTGCAGTATCGGCCTTTTGCCTCGGCAGTTACATTGCGGGGCTCTTTTGCCTCGCTCTCCGCCTTTACCCGGCTGTGGCGGCTGGCCTTTGAAAGTTGTAAGTTCACAGTTTCCGAGCAGCGTGCTGGCTGCATTCTGCTGCTTGCTCTGGAGTTTTACCTCCATGCTATTCCCCGAGATTTTGGACGTTGGAGGGCCCCGCCCAGCGGGCCCCGCCCAGTGGGCAGTGGGCCCCGCCAGCGGACCTCGCCAGCAGGCCCTGCCATTTCCAAAAATTGTCTTGAAACAGTCTTCCAAGGGATATTGGAGGCTTTGGACAGCGGGCCAGTTTCCTGGAAACAGTATCCTGAATTTGTTTCCAGGGGACCCAAATGACAATTCAAGCAATATTGCCGGCGTTGGAGCCTCTCTGGCAGTGGGCCTGCCAGCGGGCCCAGAAACTCCATGCCACACCAAGCAACACCCTGTTCCCCCATCCAACAAATGGGCTGCTACATTTTGAGGAAAGAATGGCACGCATCATGTGACGCGACGTGCTCAGGACAGCAGGCAGTACAGCTAATGGCCATCAGGCAAAATTCCGGCACAGTTGCCTGCCTGAGCCGCCCTGCCGATTTATGAAGGGGAAATTCCGATGCAGTTGCCCGCCTGAGCTTCACTGGCCTTCTTTGTTCAGGCAACTTTCCGCTACAGTTGCCTGCCTGGCTTGCTTGCTGGTGCCGAAATGTAAATCCTTGCAATTGGGTTTTAGGAACAAAGTGGGGAGGTTCGAAGTGATACTTGTTTCGTTGACGAGCTGCCCGCTGCCTCACCCGACAAACCAATTGGCGGGCACCATCGACAACCATGAGTACGAACATACTCGCAATCGCCCGCTGGCCCTCAGCAGACCCCGGTAGGCCCGAGTAGGGAAACGGGAATGAGGGCCCTCCCTTCAGAGGTGTTAAATGGGGATGTCGGGTACAGCGCCCAAGTCCTTACCGAGACCTATTGAGCCAAGTAGCTTTGCTTCTGAATGCAAGGCCCACCTGGAGAGGACCACCATTGCATACAATGCCGCCATCAGCGCTTGTGGGCGAGGCATCGATGCTTCTTGGGGGTGGGGGTGGGCTGGGAAAATGGGGTGGGGGAGGGGGGGGTGGGGGGGAGATCCCAAGCCGGAGGCCAAGCGTGGACCTGGGCCGTAGTTCTGCTGGCGGAGCTCCAGGCGGACAACGGGGGAGAGCGTGCACGCCCACTTTTCCCCCGGCCTTGAACGAGGTGATTTTCCAAAGCCAGACTTTCCCTCGGCCCTATAGGTACCTGAACCATCCTTTCATTCGAGGAGGATTTTGTCGGAACCAGTAGTAATGTCAGAGCCTTGGTACATACGTTGCTATTTTCATTCATTTTTGCAAGCCGGCCGTTCGAAGCCCTACGACCACTGCGCGAGGGCAGCCGGATGCAAGCCTCCGAAGCCACCTACACTGCGGCCATCACTGCTTGCGAGCACGGTGGGTGGCAGCAGGTTCCTCTGCGCGCTGTTCGGGAAATGTCGGGTGCACATCTTGGGGGTTGAGATAGTAAAGCGATCCGAATCAACCACCCCCCCCCCAAAACCCCCTTGAACCCGAAACCCGAAGCCCCAGAGCATCCAGAAGATGAGCCTCAAGACCAAAATCCTCCGACGCGGTGAGTTGCGCAGGCCCTGGCAGCTTTCGAGGCGCTCCGGAGCGAGGTGCTCCGGTCGGGGGTTGCAGGGGTTGCACAGGCTTTAGGGGTTGTTTAGGGCTCAGCGTTTCAGGGTTAGGGGTTACAAGGCAGGCTCAGGGTTTAGGGGGTTCGGGGTGGGGTTTGAGTACGTGGGCGAAGAGGCGCGGCTGCTGCCTGGCGCGGCCGTGGCAGCGGCTGCGCGGGCGGAGCAATGGGAGGACCGGGGGGATCTCATCGAACGCCTGACAAGAGACACCCGAAAAGTCTTTGGGTTCCGAGAAAGCGCCCTCAATGGCGCATCTCCAAAACGCCCAGAAGCCCCAAACGACCGTCTCCTGGGCCTTTTTCCTCTTGATTTGGCTCTTCGCGTTGTTTTCGGCTTGAGTTCAGGGCCCCGGTGGTTTCATACCTTTCTGTCTTCTTCGGTTTTGGGGAGGTTTTTAGTTTTGGTTTGTTGTCAGGTTCAGATTCACCCCAAGCCCTGAGCCCACTTCCCAGCCCTCACTGAAGTCCAAAGGAGGCCCTCCTCGTGCCTTTCAGTTGCAATGAGGCTCTTTGAGCAGCCTCCTGGGGGGGGGGGCGGTTTCGGGAAGCGATGGTTGTGCAGATGTTCGTCCCACACAAAAAGCGGTGTTCTGCAGGGTTTGGAGTCTGGGCTCGTGTCCGAAAATGATCGCCTGGAAGACAGCGTGAACTGCGTGGGGCAGACGTGCCTGATGTACACGTGCACGGAGAAATGCACAACACGCCCCAAATACCAAAAGACCGCACGAGCCCTGAAGGCTTTCTTTGTGGAATTCTGCCAAGGTTCGAGGACGGTCTCGGCTGCGCCCTGCTGCCGAACCTCATTTCCTACACTGCCGCCGTCGCCGCCTGCGACATGGCCCGGTGAGTCTCCGTTTTCGAGAGATTTGGGATTAGCCAGGAAGGGAAGGTGCACGAAGGTGCACGAAGGTGCACGAAGGTGCACGAAGGTGCACGAAGGTGCAGATCGTCTTCGGAGTCTGGGGTTTGAGTTGTGGCAGCAGATAACCTACATTGAGCATTCCCGAAGTTCAATTCAATTGCCCTTCACAGGCGAGAGGGGCAAGAACTGGGAGCTTGCCTTGGCCTACCTCGTATCGCTGCGGCACGCTGGCTTGGAGGCCGTTCCGGGTTGCCGAGGCTTTTGCCCCCCAGACTTTCGGGGATGCGTGGCATTGGTGGAGCTTTAAGGTGTGTAAGGCTCAGTGTAAGGGTTATTTGGCGAGAAGGCCAGGGGTTTGGAAGATGCAGGCGAACGAAGTTACCTACAATGCGGCCATCAGCGCCTGCGAGAAGGGTGAGCACTGGGAGCAGGCACCCGCGAGCTTCTGGATTGACTCTGGAGCCTCCGGTCGAAGCGTCAAGATGTGGGCGTAGCTAGACTTGTTACAAGTTACACGTGTAGCGTACAGTAGACGTTGCTTCAGATCGTCTCTGACCCCCTTGTGCAAGCCCTTAAAGCAGAGACAGCCACCTGCAGGCCCTGGCACTTTTTGCAGAGGTGCGGCAAGCACAGCTGCGCAAGGATGCACCTTGGACCCCACACTGGAGCACTGAAGCAAGCGGCAGCCGCACATGTCCCCGCGTGCTTTGTTTGCGCTCCTCCTGTGGCAGAGAGAAGCGCGCAAGCCTGGCAGTATTGGCGAGGTGATCACCTTCAACGCCACCATCAGCGCCTGTGAGAAGTGCGGGCAGTGGCAGCCCGCCTTGCAGCTGCTGCAGGACCTGGAGGAGGCCCCGATGGCATTGCGTGATACTGTCGTGCGGGCTCTTGCTCTTGCCTTCCAGACTTTTTTTGTTTGTTTTGCTTTTTGCGGGGTGTCTGTCGCACCTTGGCTCTGGTTTTGGCCTGGAGCGTTGGGATGCAGCAGCGTTCTTGAATCGTTTCCGCCTTCGTCGTCGTTACCATCGTCGCCTCTATCGTCGACGTTGCCGTCGTCGCCTCTATCTTCGTTGTTGCCGTGGCCGCTCTTCAGACGGTCTGCTCGTGCAGGTTCCACTGTCTTCTTCCAGCTTGTTGGTACTTGGAAGTTGCTGTTCTTCTTCATCGTTCATGAGGTTTTGGCCAAATTCTTTCGAAAGGGGCTTGGGCTTGGGGTTGAGGGGTTGGGGTAGCCAAGGTATTGGGACTTTAATGAAATTTAAAGTTTCCTTTTTCGGTTCATGGGCATCTTTCCAGCATCTCAAATGCAAGGCGCCAACCCTCAACTACTCAAATCAGGGGCTCTAACCTCCCTGAAGCCGCATGACATCATGAGCTCTGAAATCCTAAGCTGGTCCGCGCGGCGCCGCGCCACGCAGGCCCGCTTGGAGAAGGACACCATCGGCTACAACGCTGCCCTGAGCGCGTGTGGACGAGGCGCTTGGGACGGGGGAGGCGTCTGGAGATCCGGTGCTGCGTGATGCGACTACACCGTCTAACCCATCCTGGTGTAAAGAAGCCACGCCAACGCGACATACACGGTCAAATCGAGTCTAACCCATCCTCGGTGTAAAGCCAACAGCCGTTTTGTTCCGCAAACTTTGGGTGATTCTCAGGCGAGGCGTGGGAGCAGGCGGTGGCCCTGTTGGCAGAACTCCAGGCGCGAGCCGACAACTGGAGACCATGGGTTCCCGCCATCTCTGGCTTCGCTGCAAGAGTTGTGCATCGTAGCATCTTAGCGCACTTTTTGTTGTTCTTAGGCTTGTGACTCGGGTGGTTATTTTGGTACACAGGCCGGCCGGGTGCCTGCATCTGAAGTGACCTACAATGCGGCCATCACTGCCTGCGAACGTGGCGGGGAGTGGCAGCAGGCGGAGTAGTGCTGAGTAGGGCTGGGCTACAGGAGGTTGAGGAGGGTTCGCAATCAGGGCTATGGTTCAGCAGCTGAGCAACTGGCACTACCGCCGACAGCGGCTTTTGCGCGGTTGTTCACCCCAAACCCAGAAACCTGCCCCTGAAATCCATTCAACGGCCCTTCCGAGGCCCTGGCGGCCTTTGCCACCCTTCGAGCCGAGGCTCTTTGGCCTGAGTTAAGAAGCACGGCACCCTACTGAAAAGAAAAGCCAGAACAAAACCTTCCAAGCCCCAAGTGCATCCAAGTGCCAAAAGAGCTCTCCCCAGGCCCTCCAGCCAACGGCTGTCAGCTATGGGGCAGTTGCCAGCGCGTTGGAGGCTCCCATGCCCCTCCTTCTTGCCGTGCTTGGTTGGCATGTTGCGGGGATTTCGGGTGCTCCCCACAATTTGCTGGTAGCACAGGGGTCTCGAAGACGAGTCCCTCTGCCAGGTGGGCAAAGAGTGGCAACGGGCGTTGGCACTGTTGCAAGAGCGCCTCTGATGCCGTTCGGAGATCTGTGCAGCTTCAGAGTCTCGGAGAAGCTCGACGAGCCCTTATACTCGTAGCCTGAAGCAATCCTGTGTTCGCAAGTAGACAAGTAAGCCGACATCAGAGAGGACTCTCACAGATCTGGGCGAGCTGCTGTGTCTTAAGGTGTAAAACTACCAGGCGCGCTAGAGTCCAAGATATTATGCATTTGAGATGTTAAGAGAGAAGCTCTGGGCTGGTGCCCGTGATGTGCCTGAAAAACCCAAGCCCCGCACAAGTTGCGAAGCAGCCCGGCAAGACCCCAAGCGGCCTCCGCCCCAAAAAGGTCCAAGAAGCAACTTCAAAGTCAAAGAAGTGAAGTCCCCTCAAAAGTCCCCAAGTCGAGCTCCGCTGTGGAGCCCAGGTTCCGGGCGAGCGGCCTTGAGCTGGCGCGGCGGCCCTTCCGCGCCGCCCTGGGCGCCTGTGTGGCCTGGAGGCAGTTGGACCAGTCAGCTTCGCCTGTTTCGTGTGTTGGCAACACATTTTCAGGAAGAGCTAGCGTAGCTAGATTGAGCTTACCTCTGCTTTCGCAGAGTTTTCGACCAACCCCCTCAGAAACGTCTTTTCATCATTTCTTTTCAGGGGGAGAGGGCAGATCACCAATTCGGGGGGGTCAGCAATCATAAAAGCCTTCAATTTGTTTGGAGATTCTATCAACACGACAGGTTGGGAATACTTGAGGGTTTTGCGGGGATCTTGAGTTATACATCGCGGTCTGTATGAGCGTGCGTTCGTGTCTTCTTTCTCAAGCGCGCGTTTTGTGGAGCCCTGCGGACCTGGATCGCAGTCTCCGTGAGCGCAGCGGGGATCTTGAGTTGTGGATTGCGATTCGTGTGAGTGCGTGTTCGTACATCTTCCTCGGTGCATCAAGCAAATAGACCTGATGACGTCTCCGCGAGCGCATGTTGCTCAAGTCATTTTCTCCCCATCGCGGTTTTGGATGGCTCTTGAGGTCTAGATCACGATCTCTACGAACGCAGCAACCGCGGGAGTACGCGAAGACGCACCCAGAAGCCAAACATCGGCACATTGTAAGAGGACGCACCACAAACCAAAACAGCGAAGGTGGAAAAGACGAAGTGGAATGGGGAGGGAACGGGGGGAAAGGAAGAGGCTAAGGAAGAAAAGGTGGATGGGATCGTAGGGTACATAGGTTATGTAGGGTAACTAGATTCTAGGGTAAAAAGGGTATACATAAAGGGTAGGCAGGGTATATTCCTGCTATCGCGAGTGTCGGCGGTTGCATATCTTTTGGCGCTATGTTCTGCAGAAAGGCTTTGTCGTGGAAGAGGCCGGGGGAGTCACACAATTGCCAGCAGAAACGCCCTTCGTGTTTTCGTGATTCAGGGGGGGATGCCATCCTCCGACGTCCTCCGCCGGAACCTTTTCGCAGAAGAAAAGTTTAATCACCCCCTCCGGATAAGCTGACGCTTCGGCCTCTCAGCTCCCTGCGCCCACACCCTACATCCATGCCCCCCAAGAATCCTTAAGTGCCCCCCCGCCCCACATCCCTCCCCAAAACAAGGAAAAGGGCGAGCAGTGGACGCAGGCACTGGAGTTGTGGCTAGGCACCTATATCAAAACCTGGCCATTGGTTTGGGCGGTTCGGGCTTCACTTCAGAGCGGCTGCATAAGGCGCTGTAGAAGGCACTGCGAGCTTTCGTAGAGAGTTCGGAGTTTGCCGAGCTCCCCCCCTTGCCGAGGCTGCGCCAGCTTGGGGAGCTTCAGCTCACCGGCAGCGCGCCTTGGCAAGGTCCTTTCGCGAACCCCGAGATCCCCTATAGTTGGCGGCTCGCCTAGCCCCAAAGCTACAAGTTCCAACAAGTTCCTGCAGTCCACAGCCACAAAGGTGATCACCCACAACGCCGCCATCAGTGCCTGCGGGAAGTGCAGCCGCTGGCCGGTGGCCCTTTGCCTGCTGGAGGATGGGCTTGCTGTGGGGAATCCCTTGTCGCGTGTGAAGAAGACGGCGGGGGCTTCTCGCAAACCGAGAAAACCTTAAGACGGCTTCGCGGTGCAGTCGCGCGATGAGGGTTGGTTGAGTTGGCTGTTGAGAAATGTCGGAGGCTGAACTCATAAGCCCACAGACATTGCAGGCCGTCCGCAAGTCCCTCTACCATGCCCTACTAGGCCCTAATACCCTATACCATGAACCTGAGGAGCTGCGCGACTGCAGCTTGGAGGCCACGGAGGCGGAGGGGAGCGGGGTTGAGCTTGGGGGACGTGATTTGAGGGGTGCGGACCTGACCTTTTTCGAAACATGTTGTATTTCCCTTTGTGGGTTCAAGGGGAACCTAAGCTACGAACATCAGGGTTGAAAAGGCCAACGCTGATGATCTTCAGGACGAGGCCCTTCAAACCCTGCAGGTCACATATGGCGCAGTGGTAAGTGCCTGCGAGAAGGGCGGCCAATGGGAGTGTGCATTGCAGCGGCTTGGACTTGCAAGGGGTCTCGTTTGAAGCCATCTTCTAAGTTCTTAAGCTGCAGGGCTCCCACAGTCTGTGCGGCGTGTGCACCTCTTGGCCGATTCCGCAAGCATTCCCTCTGCTTATCAGTCCGCTTTGAACGTGCCTGAAGCCCTACGCTCATGCGAGGCTGCTGCGGGAGCTCGAGGAGGGCCATTGCCGGAAGATCCCTGGCGTTTTTTTGGTGGGAGTTGGGGGCTTCTCCTGTTCTTCGGGGTGCCGGTGCGCTGAGATTGTGGATCGATGAGGGAGTAGGCTCTATGTGGTTTTTGGGGAGCATGGAGGCATGTGAGCCAAGCCTGGCAACACTCTCCGTTCCAATGTCAAGCGCTGAATTCGCCCATCATTCGCGAGCCTAGCAGTTGCAGATTGCACCCGCTTCCTTTAAGGGGATTGGGGCGTAAACTGGGTTCCCCTATTGTGGGAGATGCCCATCTCTCTTCAAGTCAACAACACCACCACAACTTGGCAAAGCACCGTGGCTGAGACCCCTTAAACTCTGCTGAACATCCCAGGAGTGCGATCACCTACAACGCGGCCATCAGCGCTTGCGACCGCTGTGGGCACTGGGAGCATGCTGCGGCCTGTTTCAGCTCAGGGGGTCTTGGTTGGGATCCTTTTCTCGGGTTCTAAGACGATATGAAGGGCGACTTTGTGACAGGGACCAGTGGCCCTAAATTAGACAACCGAGCAGATGGCTTAGCCAAGTTTCAAGCCCCAAGCCTTCTGGTGTTTTAAGTTCAGGGCTTTTGGGACTTCGGTGGTTTGGACGTGGAGGTTGGGGATTTGGGGATGCCAGGGCAGGAGTCTTCGGCTGGGAGTTCTGTCGGGCAGCGGTTCAGATCCTGAAGCACATGCACAACAGTACGGCAAAAGTTCTTGGTACCCTCATCCCCTCCTTCCTCCGCAGCCCATGGCAAAAAGTTGTGGCCAGACTCTTGGAGCTTCAAGCACCAAGCGCCCTGGCTCAGAAGTTGCTACATGCATAGGTCCTCCTCCTTGCTGGCTTCTCCGAGAGGCACCTGGAGCATTCGGTGGCCAGCTGCTGGGCTAAATTCCTTGCACCGAGAAGCTGCAACTCTCCTTGCAGCTTCCAGAGAGCTCTTTGCCAGCCTGAGAAAAGCCCCCACGCACTATACCTAAGCCCCATCAGTTTGCGAGCATGGCAATTCCGCAGGTATGTATACACATACGTACACACACACAGATATATGTATATATATATATATACATATTTATGTATATACATTTTTTTGTATAAAATGGTACAAGAAGAAAGTAGTTAGTTTGAACACCCTGTGGGCCCTTTGAGGCTTCAATGTCGCCATTTCCGCTTGCGCCCGGGGTGGGCGGCTTGGACCATCTTTGTGGGTTTGCATCCAGAGACCACGCTTGGTGAACTCTGGGCAGGAGAAGTTGGGCAGGGCAGACCTTTTCCTTTCCCCCCAAAAAAAAATCAAGAAAAAGAAGGCAAAGCACATAGTTCCTGAAGATCCAGAAGCAGACTAGGCAGTGGCAGCGTGCACTGGAGCTGCTGCGGAGGATCACAAGGCCGTGCCTGAGACCTCTGGGATCTTTTTGGGTTCAGTTGAGAGCGTGTTTCTTTGGATTCGCGGTTCAGGTCTTGGGCTTCAGAGCGGTTCCTTGTTTATAAAAGTGCTTTCCTTTTCTTGGTTCCCAGGCTACTTGGGATTCCCTGCAGTAGGCCCGAAGCCTGATACAAACCTGGAGGTGCTGCAGACTGTTTCCCAGTTGCATTTGTGTTTCTGAACCGGGCTTCGCAATGAAGACCCCTTAAGTACCACCCAAAAGTATCCCAAAAGTACAACCTGAACCCCAAGTCCAACAGTGCACCTCTTGAGCACGTCAGGTGCGGTCTCGAACGCACATCTATCTCCTACGGAGCAGCGATCACGGCCCTCGACACGAGGAGGTGTGGGTTCAGCGGTTCATTTTTTTGGTACCGGGTGAATACGAATTAGAGAAGCATGTGTATGTCGTGTCGTAATCTGGAGGCGGTGGCGGCGGGCTGTGGCCCTCTTCGAGGAGTGCCAGCAAGAGGTGCGGGCGCACCTTGGACGAACAGGGCGAGTTGCAATTTGGGCCAACTCGGGGTTCCGGGAACGTCTCCCCTTCGAACCCCGAGAGAGCCCGACCCGACCCGAGGAGTGTCATCGCGCGTAACGCGGCCATCAGCGCCTGCGAGAAGGGCTCGCACTGGCAGGGGGCCTTGGAGCTGCTCCGGCAGGCGTCGGAGGGGTAGGGGAAAGGGAGAAATCGAGTGTTTTCTTTTCAGGGCCCTCCGAACTGCTTGGCGAAAGCAAGCGGCATCAAGCGTGAACCCTTCCAAACCCGAGAGATGCTCAAGCCGGCCCAAGCACGCCTGGCGTGTCAGGCCGAGGAGGGGACGCTTGAAGCCAACGTGGTTACCTACAACTCGGCCTGCGCCTAGGCCGCAGGCCCCTGCCAGATTGCAGGCTTTTGTTGCATAAGGAAGGGGAGGGGAGGTTATTACCCCCGAAGCCTTGCCAGCTTTTGAACACCCCGCCAAGCCCCCCAAAAACCTCCGAGACACTGAGGCAGCGCGCTGGAGAAAGCGCTGCGCTGGCGCGAGGCCCTGCAGCTCCTGGCCCAGCTGCGGGCTCGCGGGCTGGAGGCAGGAGGGGGTCGCAAGGTTTCTCAGAGGCTCCATAGCCAAAGAGTGCCCCCTTAGGGTAGCGTAGCTTCGAGCTTGGCCGCACACGGCAAGCAAAGCCTACACTTGTTTGTCGCGAACCCCCAACTTCTTCGAAGCCCCAGTCCGAACAGTGGTTTCATGAACTCAGCGCCTGTGCTGGGCTGTGTGGATGTCGGGGGCGCTTTCTTCGAAACTCTGAGATGTTCGTGCACTTGGGGTGGGCAGGGTTTGGGGGCGCCAAGCTTCCAAGCTCCTCCAGGCCACTCTCATCAGCTTCTGTGCCTGCATCGGCGCTTGCGCGCGGGGGTGGAGCTGGCAGGGCGCCCTGGCGCTGCTCTCGGAGCTGCGTGGGGAGGAGGAGGCGGGTGGAGACATGTTTAGGGCCTTCTTTCGGAGGCCGGGCGTCATGGCTTGTGTCCTTTGGGCACATGTTGAGTACCCACCTTTCATGCCGTGCTCACTCCAGAGTTTGGGAACACGATGATTGGGGTTTGGGTTCTGAACTTTAGGTCGGGATTCGCTCGCCACTGAGCCAAGCGATAGCTCTTCTTGGCACAAAGCAAGCTCCGAGGCTTGCAACCCCCCTTCTTTCCCGCGCCAAAATACTCCGCAACAGCACCAGCACACCCCTCGGTAGAGGTGCTGGGGGATGACACCACCGCCTTCGTGGCAGCCATTGGGGCATGTGAGCAGCGCCAGCTGCACGGTCAGACGCAGCTCGTGCTGGCCCAGCTGCAAGACTTCTTGCTGAGCTGGGTCGATGGATGACTTGCAACATGCAGTTCAAGATCATCTCTAGCTTAAGCGCCCCCTCAGGTGCCGAGGTAGCCTTAGACGTCTCTAGACGCCTTACCAAGATCACATCCCACCTTTGGGGGTGCCCTCAGCATCAAGAGGAAGCCTCTTTCACACAGGAGGCCCTCCTATTCTCTTTATGGCAGCGCCGGCAGCGTGCCAAATTCAATGCAACAAAGCCATTCGCAACGTCACTGTTCTCACCAGCCATGTCTGCATGATACTGCATGCCTTAGGGTGCCAGTTTGGCCACCCGACTGTGGCAGGGGAATCAGCCGCAGCCAGAAACGGATCCCATAAAGAAAGCACTGCTTCCAAAGTGAGACTTTTTTCTCAGTCCTCTTTCGCCAGGGGATCTTGGAGTTGAGGGAGTCGAAGCGGCCAGGAATCTCTGGGACTCGCATACGGGAGTTGCGGGACCCTTGAGTTTCTCTTCAGAATGGAGAGCATTTTCTCAAAGGCACTGGAGTAGAGCGAGTTGGGAGATGTGGTCCGGAGGATCTGCAAGAGGCGGAAGCTGAAAAATTGAGGGCTGCTCCCCATCCAGCACTTGCGATGCTTGCCAGATTCGAAGCCGCAAACACGGGGGCCCCCCCTGTAAGCACCCTCCTTCCCCTCTTTGGGGGTCGCAGTTTGTCTGCAAAACGGCTCTTGAACTAGCGCAGCCCTATGTTGCCCTAGGAGGAGGGGGTTCAACAACTTAGGCCTTGGGGTGACGTCAGGGTTCCCGCCAAGGATGCGTTGAAGTCGTTGAATCATAGACCTCCTGGCATGCACATTTCCAACGGCTTCAGGGCGGTGTGGGATACAAGCCATCTGGAGAGCCCAGGCCCACCTACCTTGGTGGCAAGAGCTTCGCCGATGAGGAGGTCAAGAAGACGCAGCTGGTCTGAGCGATGATTCGAGGGGTGGCTGTTGCCAGGGGGAGGGGGGGCGGTGCCGTCTGGATTCCGAACTTACTTGTACTCAGGATTGCAGGGCTTGTTTTTGCTTGCCGCCTCCCAAGTTTTGGTGCCGATTTCTCCCGCCCCAACTCCAAGCCCAAAAGGTACACCGGAGGCCTGTCAGGTTCATGAGTTGAGTTGAGGTGAAAGGGCATGGTTTAGGACTCCCAGGGTTGCATAGGGATCGGACTCAGTTTGTCCGGGAAGGATTTTGGTGGGAAGGATTCCGGTGGATTCGGTGTGTCTCTGGCATCTCCGTGGCTCCAAGGAAGCTCAATGCAGAGCTCGCAAACGGCCGCGCGAAGCTCAGTTCATGCCCGTGGCAGGGTGAGCATGTCGGTTTCAGCTTCCCAAACCCCGAACCGATTTATGTGGCACATTGTAATGTGTACTGACTATTAAAGTCTGTCTGTCCTGCAGAAGAGCCTGAGCCCCATCGTGTCGGAGTCTCCAGGACGCCAGTCCTGGCCACAGGCCACAGGCCACCCAAGAATGTCCTTAAAGCCCGCAACACTCGGAGCCGTCAAATGCCACTACTAACAGGTCTTCAGGGGGGGGGGGGCCCGTTGCTTGAGAACCTGACTCGTTTGCAGAGGCCTCAACATTCCCCCAAATGCCACCGAGGTCTGGCCATGATGGCTATCATTGGCATGTTCTTTCAGGCCAGTCACGGAGCTTCGTGCTGACAGGGCCTTCTTCCAGGAACAGCTTCCACGGCTTCTGTGTTCTGGGAAAGGGGCAGGGGGCGTTGGGTATCAGAGTGTATCAGGCACAAACTCTTATCATGCAAAAACGGAGCCACGCCCCCGACTTCCTCAACCTGGGAAAGCCCGGATGGCACGGTGCAAGGATGGCCTCACCGGATCTGCTTGGGGCGACTGGGCCAACTACACGGTGTGGGTCTCGGATCTGCCTTCGGAGCTTTGGAGCTTTAGTACTGCAAGACGATACCAGTATAGTGGCATAACAGCATGATAAACATGAGACCATGAGCGTATAAGCATGTTATGGTACAATACGAACTCATACATTATTGACGTCGTCCAGAAAGTTACCAGGCTAATGCAAGAACTGAATAACAGAAGAACAGGTTATATGCTCCTGCAATAACGGGCCAATGTAGGGACATCAAGCTAGAACAGCAACATACACTAGTAGGACAATGATTGAATCATAGACCGACCGAAGCATAGAGTAATAGAGCGCGGCAACAGCAGAAAAATCACATAGTGACAGCATAGTGAAATCACTTACCGTGGCAGGGTGTAGAGGCTTGCAGGTTTAGGATGCGGGCCTGAGGCACCAACAAACTCTGGCTTTGAGGTGGCCTGACGAAGTTTCAACCCCAAACCTTCAACCCCAGTCCCTCACCCCCCCGGCCCTGAAAAAGGCAGCCTTCAACGCCAAACCCTAAACTGAGCCCGAAACTCTGTGTGGTATTCGTCGACGTGGAGCTGCCCGAAGGATTCCCCGCTCCGGGCCTTCGAGAACGAGCTTGGAGTGCAGGCCGTTTTCTTGGGTTTCGGGGATAACGATCAGGGGTCCAGGGCTGAGGCGGTTTGGGGGTTCGATTCTGTGATGTGTCAGCTCTGTGCATCAACAGCGGTCGGATTTGGGGAGGAGTTCCGTTCAGGACTTGAGGGCTGAAGAGGTTTGGGTGGGCTCTTTATCGGCACAACAACTGAGGGGCTTCATCCTACCTCGCAAGAAACCCTACAGGCCTCAGCCCTACAACCCCGAACCCGCCTCAACCTTGAACCCTGGACCCTAAGCCGCCACCCTTTAAACCCTCCTAAAAGGCCCCTTCAAGAGCCTCCAAGCCCCCCCCCCACCAACGAAATTGTGAGGCGCCCGTGGGCTACTTCGACCCGATGGGCCTGTCCAAGGCGCAGCGTTCAAAGAGGGGCTCAAAGAGGAAGGGGGGGGACCACCTAGGGCTCTTTCAGTGGACCGTCGATGTTCTTTTGCTTGTTTGGTGTGCGGGGGCTGGGATTGTTTTGAGCCTACGAAGGAGTCCCTGAACACTGTATGCTTTACTTCGTGCCCCTGGAAAGCACTGCAGCCCATCCAGGATGGCGATGTGGAGACCTTCCGCAGGCGCCGCGAGGCCGCTGCTGAACGGCCCCCTAAATCCCAAACAGCCCGCAAACCCAAAAAAGACATGACAAAAACGAACGCCCCAACAGTCCGAGCCTCTGGTGGCTGGAGAGGCCTTACTCAGACCCTACATCCCTAGAAGCCCTACCAAAAACCATCAAAAACCCCCAAAGCGGCCTCCCCTAGGCTGAGCTCAAGAACGGCCGTGTGGCCATGCCGGGTGCCCCAGCTCCGCTGCTTCTTCGCCATGGTCAGCTGAGAGGAATTTGGGTTTCAGGGCAAAGCGCAAAGTAGGGCTCCTCCTCGTCGTCGTCGTCGTCGTCGTCGTCGTCGTCGTCGTCGTCGTTGTCGTCCATGGTGTCGCTTGTGGCGTTCCTTCTGTAGAATGTACTCGAGCCTCGGAGTACGCAGATGCAAGCACCTATTTGATGCGGGGGCCATGCTGGGCATCCGAAGATGTTCCCAGGTTCGCCACAATGGGCTATATCGTCCCCGAGTACTTCAAGTTGCGGGGCACTTGGGAACATGGAGGATGCTGGAGGGTGGTGGTTGAAGGCCTTGGGTACCTCAGTGCGCAAGTGAACAGGGCCTACAGTGAAATCAAGAAACCACGCACACACCGAACGCTCTGAAACACTGGCACCACGCCTTCCGCCCCTCTCCCCTACTTGAAACTATGCGTCGAGTGCTGGAACTGACTGTCGGTTTCTCTCCGAATGACCACTTTTGGCGACAGGACTGACCCGTCGAAGAAACCTGCGTCCCTGTCCGCTAAACTTTGGTGCCTCCATTACGAAGCCTCTCCGAGTCCGGGCTACCTGGCACCCTCTTCGAACTTGAAGTTCGCAGACGTGCCCAACGGCGCTGGGCCTAATCCTATGGCAGCAGGTGCTTGTTGAGGTTCATCCGAACAGTGTCGTAGTGGTTTGGGGCCTCCCAGGGATTGGTCCTGGGGTTCAGAGCATTGGGGGCACGGAACTTGCCGACCCCTTAATTCCCTCTGAATCCTCAATCCTCCCTTAAAAGCTGCGGCCCCAAGCTGGCTGTGAAACCCTGGGGACGACTCCAAGGCCTTGCGGCCATCACCAAGGTGCCCGCGGAGGGCTGGCTGCCACTTGGCCTCCACCCTAAACAAAAACTCCCAGTATTGAAACCCTTCGAGACCCCTTCTTAAACCTTTGGAAGCCTCTCAACACCTCCAAAACCCCCTGGCTTCATGGTTTGCTTTTGCTTTCACGCGCCAGCTGGCTTCAGATGGGTGGTCAGACTTTGAGGGCCGCTGAAGATGTGGGACGGTAGCTACATGTAGCTACCTTTCCAACAGTCAAGCCTCTCGCGGGCAATGTTGGCAATATTTCAGGGGTCAAGTCACGCAGCCAAGGCAGTGGGTGGCCCTGCCGGGACCCCGGTGGGGGCTTGGGCATTGAACGTCTCAATGTGCTCAGAGGGCTCAGGGGGCTCAAGGGGTCTCAGGGTGCTTGGGAGTCCATTTGGATCTGAGCTTCAACAGCCCTGGGACCCTTCAGCCGGCATGTAGGGTTTAGAGAGTGGGATTCAGCCACTCGTAAAAAGCAGCATTGTTCGGCTCGTTCACGAGCCTCGGCCGAAGGTGCGGCTGCTACGAGTTTGTTGTCAACCAGCCTGTGGACCGAACCTGAGAGTTTCCAGTTTTTTCTTGAGGTTTGGTCATGTACTGGTCCGGGGTTTGACGAGGATGTATGGGCATAATGGCCTTCAAGCTTGCTGTCCGCAAGCAAGGAATGTGTCCTCAGCGCAGTTTCTCAAAGACCCCTCACATCCCGGCTCTTCGTACAGGAACTCCTTTGCTCTGAAAGCCTGAAGCCCCAAGCCAGCAGAGCAAGGCTACTGCGGCTTCTTGTAAGCCCAATCCCTGAACCCGAAAACGGCCCGAGACCTTTAATCCTTGGAAGGACCCGGCGGAGCCCGGCAACTACGGCAAGGGCAAGTCCAATACCCAGCGATGCGCTTCAAAGCGTTCCGGGAGAGCTCAGCAATGCTCAGCATCCATCTTCGTTTCTCAGAAAACCCTGCGAACCCTAAATTTCCCGAAATTCTCCACATCTCTCCGCAAAGGCTCGGCTACGGCAACATGGTGCTGGGCATCACCGCGGAGTCGATCTCCGATCCGGAAGCGCCGGGAGCCACTGAACACTCTGACTCTTTGGCTCCCCTCAGGGCTCCCCCCATGGCTCCCCCCTCGACTCCACCCCACCCCCCTCCTAGGTTTTGAGGTTTTGAGGTTTTGAGGCTCCAGGTTCAGGGTCCGAGTCCAGCCGGCAAGAGTGGTGGCGTGTGCTCCGTTCCTGAAGTATCGACGCATGCCCGCCTGGCGCCACCACCCCCACACCCAGGAGTAGCGGCGGCACACATGTGTGGGCGAGATGCCGCGCAGGAAGATGGCTACGACATGAAACCCTGCACACCTTAAACCCCAAGCTCCAGCACCTTAGACTCCCATCAAGCCTAAAGCTCGGCAAACCTTGAGCCGCAGAACCCGCCGCAGAACCCGCCGCAGACCTGAAACTCCAGCCCAGCACCAAAAAAGGTTGCCCCCCCCCCCCCCCCCCAAAGAAGTCGAGGCGCAAGCGCGGCCTGAACTCCGAGTTGGCCAACGGCCGACTGGCGATGATGGCGGGGCTTCGGGGGGGGACGAAGGGCTCGTAAGGCTCTAAGGGGTTTGAGGGGTTTCGGGAGGTTGGCTTTCAGCCTTATCGGGCTTATAGGCTCTTAGGGTGCTTAAGAGGTGACGTGGACGAGTGCATTCCAGACATGCAGATTTTGCCCTTTCACGCGCATGGAGGTTCGTACCTTGATGATCACAGACCAAAGCCTCCCCCAATGCTGAATCCCTCAGCCAGTGCAGGCGATCATGGGGCTTTGGGTCCAGGCCAGCAGAGCCGCGTGGGGTCGTCTTTTGCAACCTCCAAAAAACCCTTCAAATCCGCAATCCTAAACTCCCAAACCCAAAGCCCTGTCCCTCGCAAGCCTCAAGAATGCCTTAGGAAGGGTTAAAGCTCTCGGCCCCAGCCCTTGCAACCTTGTGAGGCGTTTTGTTTTTGTGGCTGCTACGGGGTTTCCATTCTGAGGAGCTGACCTCGCATCCTCTTGGGACCGGTTCAGGCTCTGAAGGAGGGTTGTGAGGGCACAGCGCGAACCGATAACCGCAGGAGTCGTGTGTTGGGCAATTGCAAGTACCAGGGCCTGACAACGCTCAACGCTTCCTGCTAAGCCCACCGATTGCAAGGCACTTTTAGAAGTCCTGCCACAGCACGCCCTTTGCTTTTCCTTTGAGAGACCTCACATGCTTCGGGCATTCGCCCTGGGGCATGTTCAAGCCCCTGAAGCTCCTGGGGCCAAAAGCTTGAACTCCACACCCCATGTGCCCCCAGTGCCCCCCCCCCCCCGGAAAGACTCCCAGGATGGCCTCTTCGGCACCCCTTATGGCCTCTACACCGCCGGAGACTTGGAGAGTTCAGCTCAACGTGCTCAACGTACTCATAAATACCCCAATCCCAGTGTTTCGACGAACCTTTGAACCCTGCAACTAAAAGAGCTCCTTGAAGCAGCTTATATCAGCTTCGGCTGAGGGCAGCTCTGCCTTCGAGAACGAGCTCGGCGTGCAGGCCAGGCTATGATGTCGCACCTCAACTTCTTGTAAGCCCTTCTGCACAACTACACATCAGATCTGTCAGTGCAAACCCCCCCCCCTCCCCCGAAAAAAAGAAAAACCCAAAAAGCTTTTCGGCTCCGTGGGCGGGCGGAGGCCCCGCTCGGCTACTTCGACCCTCTGGGGCTCTCCAAGGACTTGGAGCACTGCGCTTTTCGTTCTTGTTCGGTTAGCTGTGGGGGTCGGGGGCCTGAAGGGCCCAGTGAAGGGCTTTAGGACCGTCAGGAGACGTTGGGAGAGTTTCTTAGAGGCTTATGTTTTTGTTTTGAGCGCTCCGGGGTGGAGGACGGTGACGTGGAGACCTTCCGCCGCCGCCGCGAGGTGCCCCCCCCCATCCCGCCTTTCTCGAGTTGTGGCTTCAGGTTAAGATGGTTTCGAGCTTCCGGTCTCTGAAGCCCTTGCCCCGCTTGTCCAGTCGGAGATCAAGAACGGCCGCGTCGCGATGCGGAGGGCCCAGGGCGTCAGATGCAGAAAGTCTAAGCGGTCTGGGTTCCGTAAAGGCCTTCTTGAAGCCTTCTGAATCCTCACAGGCTTTTCGTGGGCTTCTGGCTTCGAGCCTTCGGGCATCTTCGGACATCTTCGGGCATCTTCGGGCCCTTGCAAACTTCAGGGCCCTGGTCTCCAGAAAAGCACGCGAGGTTTGCGACCATGGGATACATGGTGCCCGAGTACTTCAAGTTGCCGGGCCCTGAGACATCGGTAGGAACTGCGAGGCCGCCTTAAAAAGCTTAGCGCCGCAATGAAGTTGCGCAGTTGCCCTTTTCATGTCTGTCCCTCGTCTCAGCCCGGGCTATCTCGCCCCGTCCTCCAACCTCAAGTTCGCCGACGTGCCCAACGGCGCTCCTGGCAAGGGCTTGCTTTGGAGTTCCGGAACCAGCCGTTTAAGCGTCAGCCATCTCAACAGGTCAAAGTTTACAAGGTTTTGTTAACCGTATAATTACACCCTCCAACTCTGAACTCCATAGCCTGAAGTAAGCCATGTTCGACCTAGACGCGTCCTTGTGTCGGACGTCCCGCAAGCTGTTTGTGGGGAAGCCAAAGCAACCGAACCGTGCAGCCTTTGGGCCCTTCTTTGGCTCTCCCCCTCCAAGGCGAACGCTCCCCCTCTTTGTCCCTCGCTCTCAGCTCTCCCGACGTCGCCCTACTTGTGCCAGGCCTGGCCGCGATCACAAAGGTGCCCGCCGAGGGTTGGCTGCAGTGGGTGGCGCTGCCCGGGGCCCAGTCTCGGTCCCCGCTTTGATGCTTTTTTTATGTCTTGCTCGCGTGTTTTTTTGTGAATCTCTCTCTCTCTCTCTCTCGCTCTCTGTCTCTCTCTCTCGCGCTCTCTCTCTCTCTCTCTCTCTCTCTCTCTCTCTCCCTCCTCGTTCAACTCATTGCACTTTCGTTTTTTCTCGTGTTCGAGGGTACCCGGTTTGTTTGGAGTTGGGATTTAGGGTTGTGCCGGCTCGCCGGCTCGCCGGCGCGGATGAGCTTGGCGGGCTTGGGATATTTCGTGTTGAGGGCTAGGGTTTGAGACCTGGGCTTGAGATTCCGGGGGGGGCAACTCGAAATTCGACAGCGACCTCAGACCGCTAGTGGGCATTTCTTTGGGTGTTTTGGCTTTTATGGCTGTGGTGGGGGAGGGGTACGTGAGAACTGCTCCGCACCCATTGAAGGTGCGGCTGCTATGAGTGGTGCGTCAACCTGCCCGTGGACAGCGCCGTTGATTGGTGTGGGGGGGGGCTATCTAGGGATTGAGGATTCGATCTGGTTGGCTCTTGTTAGTAAGGTCCAGTGCAATTGATTCATGGCACATCTACGGGCAGAGAGACAACAACGAATGATGATGTTCACCCGATCTTGGCAAATCCGCGAGTCTACCAGGCTCTGCCTGTCGCCCGCTTCCGTGTCGTACATGGCAAGCACATATCCAAAACATGAAAACCAACCCTGTCCAATGGCCCGCCCAGGAACCTGGATCCCTGAGTGACACTCTGAAACCCTTTGCTGTGGAGGACCCTGCCGATCCTGGAAATTATGGCAAGGGCAAGCCGGGGCGCCCAGTGAGTTGCATAGAACGTTGGTCCATCGTGTCCTTCGGTTCTGGGGATCCGCGTCTCATGGCCTTGTGCCGCGAGAGACGAAGTGTCTCCATCTCTGGCAAATGCTTGGGTGAATGATGAGCCCGTGCGAGCTCTGGCATATTGTGCTACCGGCGCCATGGCTGTGCAGATCTCATTGTCGCAGTTGGCGGGGATTTGAGCCCATCCCCCTCCAAAGTCTAAAGCTTCAATCCCCACAGTCCCAAATGCCTGAGGCTCGGCTACGGTAACATGGTGCTGGGCATCACCGGTGAGAGCATCAGCGACCCCGAGTCGCCAGGGCCGCAGCTTTCGGGGGAGGAGGGCAACGAGCCAGAGTCCGGAGTTTTCAAGGGGTCTGGGTTGTGGCTTGCGGCTGATTGCAGAGGACTTCTCAGAAAGCTGAGGCGAAAGCGAGGACTGAACTCCGAGCTCGCCAACGGCCGGCTGGCGATGATGGCGCGGGGACCCGGGCTCTCTCCCCTCCTTCAGGGCCTCGGTGGAGTCCGGCTTTGGGACAGTTTTTGGTGGTCTGCTTTGAGGGTCTAAGCTTGGTTTGGGTCAGGCTGAGGGCACTTCAGGGTCGATTTGTATGGTCGCCGAACACCTCCCAACAATACCCTTACCACACACCCCTTGCCTCCCCTTGACCCCCCTTGGCCCTTAACAACACGAGAAAGCCCTTTTCAAGCCTCCGGCTTTGCGAGGCCATTGTGGGTCTGTGGGTCCAGGACGGGGCAAAACATCACTCTGAACTCTCGTCGCGTGGCCATGTGCTGCGTGGGGCCTTGGGGTTGGATTCCTGTTGGAATTCCAAGGTGGGAATTTACAGGCGGTTCGTGTTGGGTTTCGGCGCTTCTGCTCGAGAATCTTCCCATACTTCCTCGACCGAATCTTGCCCCAAGCCCTTCTAAATGCTCCTATGTTTCTGAAGGACGGCCTGTTCGGGACACCCTACGGCTTGTACCAGGCGCAAGCGCAGCCTCCACAAACTACCCTAGCCACTTTAGCAGCTTTCGAGGAGTTCAGGATCTTTTGAGAGCGAAGCTTGTCTTGCAGCCTTGGGCCCTCAGGGCTCTTTGGCCATGGAGGATGGTGGAGTCTGATTGAAGGGGTTGAGAAGCGTTGCTTTGAACCCGCAGGAGCCCTGGCTGCTGCTGGGTAGGGGAGTCGCTAAGTCGACGCGTGTTTGGAGGAGGTCGTTCGGTGTCTCGATGGAGGGCGCAGCGCAGCGCCTTTAAGTGGAGGAGGCGAGGAGGATGTGGCATCGATTGCTCGGGATGGTTGCCTCCAGAACAAGACTTCTTCTGGAGGAGTTGGGCGCACGAGCGGCTGCAGGTAAAGTTGTTGTGTCCATGGATCGATCTGGCCCAGATAACCTTTCTACTTCTAATGCTAAAAAGTCTTTCCCCAGACCCCCTGTTAGAGTGACGGGCTTGCCCCACTCTGGGCCTAGTTGGGAGGAGCAGAATGCGGACGTCACCGGGGCGAATTGATTCGTGAAATACCGAACCTCGTGGCGTGGAGAACCCGTGACGCAGGAGTGTGGAGGAGGAGGATTTCTGTTGGACGCACTGCTTTTGGAAAAGGGGCGTTTCTTATCAAGAAACGCTAGCCGTCACCAACCTTTAGCCTTCTGCCCTAAGCCCTCAGACCTCAACCCTTAGACTCTCAGACTGGTCCCACGGAAGGGCTCCAGCGCTTTCGAGACTGAGCTGGGCGTGCAGGCCTTGCTAAAGGGCTCGGCTTCGTTTGGTGTTTTGGTAACGGTTTACTTGAGGGCCTTTGGGCTCAAGTCCTCTAGTGACTTCAGCCGCACATGGATCTTACAAGCCGTATGGACGTGTATGTGCCACCCTGCCCTGAACCTTGAAGAGCATATGCCCATCAAGCCCTAATCGAATCAAGCCCTAATGAATTTCTTGGGGTCGTTACTGGGTCACGGGGAGACCTTGGGGTCTGTCAGGCTTGAGTCAACCATAAGAACCGAGCCCACCCCCGACTTGTCGCCAGCCTCCTGTCGGCTTTTGGGATCCTCTTGGCTTCACCAAAGGCTGGATGGGAGGGGCAGGTTGAAGAGCTTTGCCGGAAGGTGTCAGAACTTGCAGAGGTTTTTTCTGGCGCGAGGCGCAAGAGCAATTTTTCTCAGAACCCAAGCTCCAGAGGAACCCTCGGCGAGTCCCTCATCTAAATCACACTTTCTTACAATTACAACATCCAAGTGAGCTCTACAACTAGTTCCTGAGCAGGCTATAGGCTTCTGTGCTCAGACCTGCGGTCTGCACTTGCAAACTTTTGGAAGTTGTAGTAGCTCACGGGGGTTTCGCCTGCTTCGGCTGTCGGGATGCGAGGGGGTCAACCGGACTTGTGTGTGGTGCAGTGTCCACAGGCAATGTGGCGTGGCGGGGCATCAATGCCGATTCAGGGTTTTGGGTTTCCGTCAGGTTGCGGCTTTGAGTGACTTCCGGAATTCAGTTGTGCTGATGGGGGCTTGCAACTCTGCGGGTTTAGTTAGAGGGCTGGCAAGCAAATCCCAAATCACCGCAGCCTCATGCCCCCTCTCCCGCCGCCCCCGCAGTCCTTGCAGAAGCGCAGGTGGCGACGCCGCATCCTTCCGCCGCCGCCGCTACGTGGAGCTGAAGCTCCAAGCTCAGTCCCTGAAGTCTCGAAAGGCCCCTACTGAATGGCCCGGTGCCCCGAAGCCGGAACCCCGACTCAAAGTAACGTAAAGCCGCCCTTTAAGCAAGAAAAGGTTTAACCAACAACGCGCACACCGAAGACCCAAACGCCTGAATCGCAAGCCCTTCCTTTCTTGTCCTTTCTTCACCCCTGCACCCTACATCCCAGATGTCGTCAACCACCCGCATTCGGTGGCTGAAGGGGTGAGCTCCTTCCTTGCAAGGCACGGCCGCGTGGCAATGCTGGCTTGCCGGGGGGCTAAGCAGAGAAAAGGATCTCCGATGTGCTGCGGGGCCTGCGGGGCGAGTCTGTCGGGCCTTTCCGTATCGAGTCGATGGTGTCCCCTTCAGCCGTATTCCTCCCAGAAAGTCTTGTTGAAGGCTATGAGTGGGGCTGAAAACCGGGCTTGGAAGAGCCCTGAGGCATGGGCTACATTGTGCCGGAGTACTACCGCTGGCCAGGTGATCTCTCGTCCGGGCCCCTCCTGGCCGGTTGAGGGTTGAAAAGAGTCCACGCGGGGGGAGGTTGAAGCGGGGAGAAAACTTGGGACACATGGTTTCCTTGCACACCTGGGGAGACACCGAGGACCTCCCTGGGCCTGAAGTTCACCGACGTGCCCACGGGCTTCGCTGCCTTCAGCAAGGCGGAAGCCTTAAGCGGCCCTCCCTCCTAAAGTTTTCTGGAGGTTTGCCTAAAGGCCCTATAAGTATCCCGGGCAAGAAGCTCCGCAGCCTTGGGACGCAGAAGCAACGCTGGAGGCCCGAAAGCTTCAGAGCAGATCCTAGTCTTAACATGTCTAACCAAAAAAATCTCACGGCAGGGGGGCAGGGAGGTGTTGGGGTGCTGGCTCAGGTGACGCTAGAGAAATCGGGAGTCCGGAAAGGAACCCGAAAGCTAGATTAGCTCAAAAAACTGCCCCGAAAACCCATCCTAGTACGCACTTGCTAAACGCAATATCTCCAAACGACATGTCATCGGCGAGCTCGGGAGGAGCTGAGCTCCGGGGTCTTTGGAGTGCTTGAAATTGAGCTTTCGCCAAGGAGCTGCCTCCCCCCAAAACAAAAAAACCCCCCAAGTGCTCTCAGGTGCCGCTCTCTGGTTGGGCCGGTTCCTGAGAAGCCCTTAAGGCCCCCAAAGCCCTCCGTTAGACCCCATAGCTATGGGGTTGAGAGCCCGAAACCCCTCAGCCCCCCAACATCCCTGCTTGTCTTTCGAAGGGGCCACGCCTCTCGGAGCTCCCCACGGGGTTTCAACCCCTCTCCGAGTTAGAGCCAAATCCGTAGCGAAGTCTATCTTCACTGAACACGGGGACGGGGCCCAAATTCAGGGCGGAACCACCGACATCGTTCACTCCTCGCAGTGCACGTGTTTACCCCACCCGCAGCCCAATGTTGGCCCTTTGTGTTTGACAGGCTTAGAAACAACCCTAATCCTCAAACAAACCCTAACCCTTAAACCGCTGACCCGAAGCCCTAAAAGCCAAGGCCCAGATGGTCGGCTTCGCTGGCTCCGTGGAGCTCTTCCAGTACGTCGATGCTCCCTGGCTAGTAGGGACGTAGGCTTTGCGGTGCGGGGTTCACGGCTTGGGGAAGCTTGGGCTTAGGGCTTTCTAATTCAGGTGTTGGGGTCTACGCGCTCAGACTCTGCAGCACTGGGACTCTCTGAGTTTTGGCTCGAACAGGAACGTGTCTTGAGTGCAGGGTCCATGAACGTCAGGCTTGGGATGTTGATTCATGGGGTGGGGCACCGTGAAATTCAACTCTTCAGGGTTGAGGGGAAGCATATGAGCTTACATAGTAGGTAGCAGATGGTAGCGCACCAGGTCTGTGGGCCTGGATGCGAGCGTGAGATCAAACCAACTCGGTGCGCCACACAAAAAGCGCCCCAGCCCGGCCCTTGCTCCACCGAATCCGTAGGAATCCTGAGCTGGGCTGCTCTTTAGTGCGGGCGGCCTAGGATCCCAAGCGCGCTCCGGGCGACTTCGAGAACGCGCGGGTCCTCGGATCCTCGAGGAAGGAGTCTGTGGGGTTCCCTCTCTTCTTGCCTTCATCTGCTCCAGGCGGCTTTTGCCCAGCTACCTGAAGACCCTCAACTTGAAACCCCACAAAGCCTGCACGCAGATCCACCCAAACCCTGCCATCAGGATGAAGATGCTTTCCTAGGATTAGGTCTCCCCCCCAGCAGCTGAAAATGATGAGGAGAAGCTGGACAGCAAGTCACAGAGCAAGGGCCTCCTCAAGAACTAACTATGGGGGTACTAGGGCTGTCTTTCTTGCCAACTTAGCCGGTTTTGCTGTCTGGAGGCCCAAACTACCGCTGTCCTCTTGCCTGCTTGAATGGATTACTCATGATTCATTATTCAGAATGTGGGAGATGAGATTCTGGGCTTGTCTTGGTTGCAGAGACATGTTCTCGAAAGGCACAAGGCACAGCCCTCTCTGCAAGAGCCTGGGTTTCGTTTCATGGTGGTGTAGTGAGGGGGGTGGTGAGGGGGAGGGGGGGGGGGGAGCTGTTGTTGGAGGGTTGCCTGAGACATGAGAGCCGACGGCAGCTCGTAGAACGTTGCATTGCCACGGCCGCCGCAGTGAGCCATTCCAAGCGGTCCAAGCGTTCTGGGAAAGTGAGAGGGTGTGTGCGTCGACGTCAGCCTCGTCAGAGCCTTGGACTTACGAGCTTCGGGTCCCTCTGAGCCCACACTGTAGACATCTTCAAGGTTGATCTCATGAAATCCGAGTGTTGGGCAATTTTGGAAGTCAAGTGCAAAGTTGAACAGGGACATCTCTATGGTTACATATATGAACACTGCCCACTCTGGCGCATATGTCGGCCTCCTTCGCCTGACATGAACTCATGTGTTTGGAGCCGCTTTAAAGTAAGGGTAGCCAGCTTCTCATGCCCTTGAGCTGCATAATGCATCTAGAAGGTTGAATGCCAAGAGTTTCACCTGAATATCGACCCCGTAAATCCCTCAACCCGCACCCCAAAGCCTTTGGCTTCCGTCTAAGCTAGGGAAAACGGGGTTTTAGGCAGCCCGGAAGCAAAAGGGCCCTAAGGCTTACATAGTTCGGGGGTTTCGGGAAGCTGCGATGCCCAGGAGCCATGTCGACTGATGCGGAGGAGGGCCCAAGGGGCTTTGCTTTTGATCCCCCAAGGTTGCACCCCGACCTGAATCCCCTATCCCCCGAAATTTAATTTCTGCCATGGTTGTTACATAATGTAGTGTATGGGGAACATCTACTATTCGGGGGTAGGGGGCTGAATAAGAGTCAAGGGACTACCCTGGTTGATGGACATCTTTCCAACTCAGCAAAACGCACATTGATGCCACTGATGTGCGTGGCCAAATTGAATATGTTTTTTGTGCCCACCATTGAATGCAGCCATTTAGCGGGTCTTTACGATTAAATGCTTTGGGAATGGGGCTGACGTCACCTCTCTTATATTTTCGAGGGCAGAGAGCGAAATAAATTACGGTGGCTACGTTTCACGCGTAGATAGACTCGGCGCGCCGCTCTGCTTGGTGTGGTTGTCGGTTTGGGTTCTTTGTTCGGTTTGTTTTTGTGCTCGGTTTTCTTCTTCTGCGCACACTATTAAGGGGCTCGCGTTCAAAACAATGAACCCGGGTTCGAACCCCTCCCAGACCAACTGAAATTCTTAAGCCCA